ATTGGATCCAGACTTGACATTTGGGATTCAGACAGTTCGACGAGGGACTATTTGGGCTTGTGCCGAAGACTTGGTGTTGACGACATTCCCATCTTCCCCCTCCTCTTCGTCTATCCCCTTCCTCCTCGTCTGTGCATGTTCTGGGCTGGCGCTGTCTTCCTGTGTGAAGCGCCAGACCCATTCACACTATGAAATGATGATGATGATGTATGTTCAGGGCTGCATTACAACATTGATTGTTCCGATCACTAGTATCTAAGTCTTCCGCTGTGCTATCTTATACTTTGTATTGAAAGGTCGGTTCTTGTTCTTGTCTGCACCTATACGGTATGCAGCAGACAGACAAACAGACAGACAAACAGACAGACAGACAGACAGACAGACAGACAGACAGACAGACAGACAGACAGACAGACAGGCAGACAGGGAGGCAGGCAGCCCGCCTAGCAGCCAGTGGGACGGCCAGTTTACAGACAGACAGAGACAGACAGACAGACAGACGCACAGACGGACAGATGGACAGATGGACAGACGGGCAGACGGGCAGACGGGCAGACGGACAGACGGACAGACGGATAGAAGGACAGACGGACAGACAGACAGACGGACAGATGGACAGACAGAGACAAACAGAGACAGAGACAGAGACAGAGACAGAGACAGAGACAGAGACAGATGTATGTACACAAATTGATTCAATTCAAGAACGGGGAAGCGTGTGCAGACAAACAGACACAGTCAGATGTATATACCCACAAACAGATTGAAATGGAAGGATGTGCAGAGTGCATGACAGACAGAGAGACATAAACAGACAGACATAAACAAATTGAATTGGAGAACAAGAAAGAACATGTAGACAGACACTCAGACACACAGACACTCAGACAGACAAACAGACACTCAGACAGACAGACAGACAGACAGACAGACAGACAGATAGAGACAGAGACAGACATATGTAGAATGTTCAAACAAACAGATTGAATTGGAGAATGAGGAAGGAAGGATGTGCTAAATTATTCCGTCTGCTTAACGTGTGTCGCTGTGGCAGATATTGCTAGACTTCTGGAGGTTAGATCATCCGAATGTGGTCAAGCTGCTTGCGACTTGCAATGATGGCATGCAAGCTCTTGTTTACGAGTTCGTTCCCAACAACACGCTTCGCTTCCACCTGCAGGGTACGGACTTTGCCTGGATCTTCTGAGAAAAAAAAAAAAGCCATTCACGTCAAGCCAAACTTTGATTCTTTTTGTTAGGATGAAGGAAATAGTTTAATAGCACCTAATCTTATTGGATTGTTAGTAATTTGTTATAGGGTTTGAGGTTTGAACTCTTGATCTGTACAGGGTTTGCAACTTTGCATATTCCACAAGCCAAACTTTGTTTCTTGTTCTAGCAGGGAGTAATATCAATAACACTGAATCTTGGTTGTGTTTTAGGTACAGGATGTGAACTCTTCTTGATCTTGTTTAGAAGGGAATAACTTCAATAACACCAAATCTTATCGGTTTTTTTTTTTAATTATTCTTTTCTGTTGCTTTTGTTTTTCCTCTCCTCTTGTCGTATCACTACAGAAGAAGTATTCACTGTATTGAAGTGCATTCTTGATCTTTTTATGAACATGTGTGTGTAATATTGTCAGCACCAGGGTGGTGCAACCGTGCAAGCCAATCTTTTTTTTTTTTTTTTTTCCCTTTTTTGTTTTGGTGTTCTTTTCTTTTCCTTCTTTTATTTTTTTCCTCTTTTTTAAGTTTTTTACTTTTTTTTCCCCTTTTTTTTCGCTTCTTTTTATTTTTTTAATTTTTTAAAATATTTTTTTCCCTTTTCTTCTTCTTTTTTTTTTAATTTGGACCATTTCTGGATTTATGTGTGTCATCCTTGCGCAGCGGCCGTGCTACTCTTCTCTGGATCGTTCCAATTTTTACAGTTGTCCTGAAGGACACCAATCTCTTTCTCCTAGACTTAAAAGAACCTGGTGTATTTGTCTGCACTGGGGGAACAATTCCATCTCATTGAGGTCTTGAAAAAGAAAGAATGGTTGAACCGATACAGAGAAGATTAGCATGGCACCTGCGGGGAAAAAGAAGAAGAAAAAAGAAACAAATGATGCTCCCCGGACTGGAAAAGGCGCCAGATTCATCTGGTAAAGATGATATACAGCATGCAAACATTACACCGTTATAGTATACTCGAGCACAAATTGCAAACGAAGTACAATTAGCGCAATGATGGTCACGCCGGCGAGGTGCTGTTTTTGTTTATTAAAAAGAAGAAGAAGAAGAAGAAGAAGAAGAAGAAGAAGAGGAGGAGGAGGAGGAGAAAAGGAAACTGGTGTTTGTTTTTAAATCAATAACAACGCTGTGTTGATTACGAGATCGGTAACAACACACTGACATATCTTGCATCCAACACCATTAAAAAAAAGTCAAAGCAAACGGCAATTAAACCGCTGTGTGAGTCTTGGCTGTGTATGCTGAAGCTGTGAAGACCGGATGAATGTCTAGTGATTGCTATATGCTTCTTACCACACTTCTAGTGCTCTAACTACCTAGTGTCACACTAGGCGGGACGCGAGCCCGGACACGATTTGACTCCAGTCACTTTGACTGTTCACTGGCGCAATTGAACCACGCCGCGCCGAATTTGGGGTCTGTACGTTGGGGCAATTTTTTTTCCGACGTACAGACCCCAAATATGTACGTTGGGGCAATTTTTTTTTCCAACCCTGGAAACACGCCGCGCGCGGAAGAAGAAAGAACCAGGGCTGGGCCAAGTACTGGTGATTTAAACCACCAGTACTTGGCCCAGCTATCGGCCGCGGAAAAAAAAATTAGCGTCGAAACGTTTCTAGTTGGATGAATTTGGGCGCTCCTGTAGCAGCCCGTACGTTTCCTAAAACCGTGGCGCGTTAAAGGGCACGACTTCATGAAGTACTGGTGGTTTACGCCAGACTTGCACTGAACACTGTAAAGAGTCAAAAGCAAGATCAACAGTCAGAGACTCAGAATAGATTGACATTGTGACACAATTCACTCCCACGGGTGTGAAACCTCGGCTCTTAAGGCGGAGGACACCGGTTCGAATCCGTGCGTGTGTGCGCCGAAGAGGTCTACTAAGGCTGAGAAAAACGTACTGCTCCTATTGTAACGGAGGGACCTGGATCGTTCCAGTGTAGTGGAGCATGTAGTGGAGCGGTCCCCCCCTCCGTTACAATCGGAACAGTACAGAAAAGATCAGCATGGCGCCATCCATGGCACGCATAGATCAAGAAGTGGTCCAAATTTTTCAAAGGACAAAAAGAAAAGTGTAGCGGAGCACAGGAGGTTGTTTTGCTGTTTCAGGCTTTTCCGCAGGTCCGCCCTTCTTGGTGCACTTACTATTTTTTTTTGTTTGTTTTTTTAATACCACGCTACCACGCTCAGAGGGGTGATATGAGAAGCCCCTCCTAGGGGGGGAGGGGGGGGGGGCTTGTTGCTGCAATCTATTGGTGGGGAGCAGCACTTAACTTTGTCTGGTGGTATGCTGTTTCCAGGTGAACAAACAAATGCGCGTCTGTTGAGTTGGGGTATGCGAATGAGCATTCTACTTGGCATAGCAAAAGGGGTATGCACTATCTAATGGTAGCCGTACAACTTCTTTTTCTTTTTTGCTTGCTTTCTAGCCGTACAACAAAAACGGGTAGATCCGTTTTTTTCCCTTTTTTTAAAATTTTCCCCTTTTTTCCCCTTTTTTTATATCTGTTCAACAAATTACTAGCTTCACATGTTTATGTATATTGCTATGTGGTTTAACAAAAGTGTGGTAGCCCCTAATTGTACTGTACCGAATGCTATTGAATGCTATGTGCGCAAGGATGTGAAGTTTGAACACCTGATCAGAAGACCTACCCCATACGCAAAAAAATATGTTGCCGACTGCCTAAGAAAGGAGGTAACGAGTGTGCTGTATCACTCTTTTGCACGTCGTGTTAGTTTTGTCTCTGTATTGTGGTACAGTCTTCCCCCGAACACAACACACCCTCATTTTAACTGTATCGGGCTGGAAAAATACCTTGTATACGTTCATTTTCAGAGTGCGTTATGTTTGGCGGAAGACGGTAGTTAACTCTCTGAGCGTCGAGTCCATGCTCTCGACAGTGAAGCCAGTGTAAAATTGTCTGCCTGTGTGCTATTCTGCTATTCTGCTGTTCGGCTATTTGGCTATTCGGCTATTCGGCTATTCGGCTATTCAGCTATTCTGCTATTCGACTATTTGGCAACTCGGCTTTTCGGCTATTCAGCTATTCTGCTATTCTGCTATCCTTGAAACGGTTTTCACCTTTGCAGTAGCAGATGCGGATCCCAGGGCTCGATCCCTAGACCTCACCTCACCCGTGTACAGTACCCCTGTGTGTTTGAACCCGTGACCTGCGTTTTAGGAGTTTTTGTCTGTCGTAGGTCGGTGTAGTTATTGGGTCTGGAACCGTAGGTCTGCCGAGTAGGGGTCAATGTTGTGTAGAGGTCGTAGCTGTAGCGATTCTGAAAGGTCAAGGTTGTAGCTGCTACAGTTTCGAAACACCAAGTCCGCAGGCTTCAGGAAGGTCCGGAAGTGGCCTTTCAAACGTTGCTCACAGCAGACCCGCAAGTGGGCAAGTGGTGAGTCCAACCTTGCTTAGTCAGTGGTACCCAGTCCCATTCTCACTTAGTCCAGTCAGCAAATACCATGTGGGACTGTGTGCACCATGGGCCCGGTTGAAAATGGCAGACCAGCAACTTAACAGAAGTATATAAATCAAGAGGCAGTGTCCAGCCATTCATTCATTCCTGCGTGAGCCATGCGGAAGCGCTGCCCAGGCGTCTTGTGCGAGGTGGTCTGCAGATGCCCGAAGCCGAAGTGGACTGAAGGAAGGAGATAGCATCCAGTGTTAGTAGTAGCGAGCGGCCATAGCTGCCATAGGGAGTCTTAGAGATAGTGTTCAGTGTGTGAGTGTGAGTGGAGTACAGCGTGATTGTGTGTGTGGGATATTCATGGAGATCCAGAGTTGGGTGTGTGCGAACAGTTGAGGTGTATTCAGTGTCGGACAAGAGAAGTGGAGGCGTTCAGGCGCCATAGCCAGTTGAAGCAAGTTTGTATCTGAGCTGTGTTCGCGACATGAATATCTTTGAGCTTTGTGTGGGCGCATAGTGCCATTGTGGATTGCCATCTGCTTGCATGCATACGAAGTGAAGAGGAAAGCGAGTCTGATTGCATTGGTATTGGAGCTGGTTCCTGTTATTCCGCACGCCATCGTTGTCAGCAGTGCGCCATAGCTGGGCGCCCTATCAGAAGAAGCGCCATCGAGGGAGAGAGGTCCGCCATAGCTGCGCAGCGGAAGAAGACATCGCGCACCTGCAAAGGACAACGACGACAAAGGGGAGAGAGAGAGAGAGAGAGAGAGAGAGAGAGAGAGAGAGAGAGAGAGAGAGAGAGAGAGAGAGAGAGAGAGAGAGAGAGAGAGGAGGGGTAGGAGGATGCGTGGGTACATACCGGATATAGGCAATGGTCTGCATTGGGCGACATCTTCATGTAC